CAGTATGTTCATGTGTTAAGTAACATTCAATGGTGTTTTTTGGTCAACCAAGGTAGACATATATTGATTGTCGACTGAGTCAGTGACTGATGAAACACATTTTAAGCACATATTCATCAGAATAACTAGTTTTGTCACCAGCTAAAGGGTTATTATGTTACACTACGAACATGTAAATATTGCTTGCTGCTTGAAGTACCTACCATGAACCCACTGCACGTTTATGACCACGACCGATTCACCGGTGATGCTTATGTCGAACGTTTGATGCACTTCAGGTAGATGGCGGTAAGTCTTCTCGGGTGCATCGCATCACCGTTATCATCAGCTATTTGGCATATCCGTTGAGGTTTGACCAGGTGGGCATCATCGGGATTCTGAGACAATGGGTTACGCAATCGGCAGTACCGTTAACAATATATAATATTTTCATGAAAAATGTGTTTAGCCTATAAGCAAAAAGGTAGTAACGATGGATACAGTGGCGAAGCTGTTAAAACTTCAACTTTTTTAAGCTGCAGGTAGGGGTCCTTTTCGAGCAACTTAAATTGTGCGTTTTTCTGTATTTCGTATTTTATTGCAAATTTCGTTCAGAACTTTTCGAAATTTTCAAAAAGGTTAAGGCCTGGCTACACTATGCGTTTTCTTCGTGCGTTTTTGCAGGTTTGCGTGTTTTGCGTAATATCGTTCTAGGAAAAAAGTTATAAACTATATAATTTTTACTTTGGTTATATACAAAAGCTAATATAACTCTTATGTAACTAAAATTTAAGGTGAAAAACATCACAAAAACGTAATATCCTTCTTTTTTCTAGAACGATATCACGCAAAACACGCAAACACGCAAAAAACGCACGAAGAAAACGCATAGTGTAGCCAGGCCTTTATTCAGGGCATTCACTGTTCAATTCCACATTAGTCTAAGCAAAAATGACTAAAAAACATCAAACGGTTTTCATTTTACAGCGATTTTACTATACCATTACCTTACTGTCTCAAATAGCCCCACTGTCTCAAATAGCCCCACTTTACGGTATATCATTCGACGCGCCTGAGCGAGGCTAACACGATGCTGCCAAAATCGCGGCTCTGCGGCCATTTTTTGCGAAGTTATTCACCAAAAACTGAAACGTACCTTGGGGCACTTGACCTGACCTCAGAGGTCACCAGTTGACCTAGGACCTTAAAATGGGGTGCCAATCTCTGCGTCTCTTAACGGCGCACACGCTCGTTTTTTTTCCGCGACGCGCTAGCTCCACCAGGGGCGAAAGGGCGAGGGGGTTGTACCCGCCCCCCCCCCCTCGGCCGGCGCGTATGTAGAAAACCAATAGGTCCGGCGAGGGTTAATTTACAAGCGGGATGATTTCTGAAATAACTAAGGATCATGGTTGAGAACAGGATGAGACACGCCAACTTCTCACAGTAGCAAACTCTCATCAAAAGTTTCAAAAACGTCTCAAACTCGCCGTTCCAAAAAGCGGCCGGCTCTGTCAGCGGTCCTCGAATTTGGTGGTCTCGCTACAAATGTGTCGGCGCCGGCGAATCGCCTTTAGCCGCCGCCGGGCTGACGAGCTGCCGAGCTGTCGCAGCGCCTTGTATTGCTGACGGCGCTGTCAGAGATTCATAACGGCAGCCATGTCATGTGCTGCTGACAGCGCATGGATCGATCTGCCGCCGATCTGCGACCCGTGACGGACGAGAGAAGAGCGACGTGACACACCCGCTTTTGCTGTCCGTCACGGAGTTACTGACGTGACCTAGGGCTTTACCACACTGATTGCGCTGTTATCGAGAGTTACTGGCTCGGTTACGGTGGTAATACGGTGAGAGATGTGAGGCTCTGCCCCGTCAACTGACGTGACCTGCAGCTATACTGAGGAACGTAGCCCGCTGTATCCAGTGACCCTCCGTCGTTCTGATAGTGAGTGGCGTTCAGAAATCTGTCGGCTTGGTGATCGGCACCATAACTATATCGGTTGCCGGGGCTGGGCCAAGGTGGCATGCCGGCACCCTAGCCACTGTCTTAGCAGTCTGCAGGGACAGAGTGGCACTGCAGCGGTCCGACACTACCTTGTAGCTCCTGTCCGCAGCGGTCCGACTCTACACCTTGTAGCCTCTGTTTGTAGCAGTCGTGACAGCCCCGCCGGACGACGGCATGGAGCTGACGGCCGTTTACCGTTTACTTGTCAGCCAGTCCGGTGACGGGCTGCGGCTGCCTTTGATCTCACGTGTAAGTAAACCGATGGCGGCCGGCAGCCGGGGCAGTTCGGCCGGCCCCGGCCCTCTCGGAGCGTCGCCGCCCCCCTCATTGAGCTCGCGCAGCCGCCCGAGGAATTTATAGGGTCCAATCATGGGTTATAAATCGGACGCTTCCACAAATGTTCATGGGAGGATGTTTATGCGGTCAAAATTCTCGGGTGGTTCCGAGATGGGACATTCGGCTCAATAGCTGCGCAGTTTCTATCCAGTTTGGAGCTGCTGAACTTCCGGCATTTGAGAGGAAATGTCCAAGGAAAGGGTAGCAGGCATCCGAAAGGTGACAATGCTGTCGCCACTGGAATTGAAGAAAATGTTGATTATGATTGCGCTTCTGCTTATATTTAAACATTCGTTCTAGACACCTCGCAAATCCTCCCCGAATTTCATCATCGAGTAACAATGAATTTGCATCAGTTGGAACTCACAACTCAGTTCCATGCATATTGTTTTGACATATTCTTTTGACTGTTGTATGCTCCCAAGTGCTCCATAATCTAAAACGACGTATTTGGCATCATCGTATGACTCTGAAATGTGCCTTGGACCACTGGCATGCATCTTCACGGCTGCCATCCATTTTGTGGGGCATCGGCTGGCTCATGGCTGGTCGCAGGCACTGCAGCTGGATCGTCTCTAGGAATACATTACATTGGTCGGTTAGCGATGCAGAATGAAACTGGACGTGGCAGCTGAACGGGAAACATGCCGTCCACGGCGCCGACAGCGCCGATCGGCTCGGAACCATCGCCGGTCCCTGGGTGCTGAATGCAGAGCCTGCAGTGGGCTGAGTGCAGAGCCCAGCGGACGCTGAATGCGGAGCCCAGTACAGTGGGCCGAATTCAGAGCCCAGCGGATGCTGAATGCAGAGCCTAGTTGCAGTGGGGCGAATTCAGAGTCCAGTAGGCTGAACACAGGTCAGTATTCAGCCGAAAACTGCGCACTCTCGGCAGTGTTGTTTGGACGGAACAGGCCTGTCATTTGAAATTTAGCGATCAGAAACTGCGCTCAAGAATGTCCGTGCTTTCGTACGGCAGGGCGAATTGGTAAACGTTGAAAGCTGTTGACTTGCCAATGTTAAATGGCCCACGGACACTTGTTGCAAAGAGTCTAACCAACAGGTCGAATGGCCAACGGCTATCAGCCGCTGCCAATATGCTGCACGCAATCTCCTCGGTCCTCTCTCTACATAGTTCAAGTGGTCTAGCGGCACTACTAGCACTAAAACGAACTCTAAAACATCACAATCGCTGGTGCTGGCCACTCGCCCGTCCCCTCAGCGTGGCGTCGACTCGACGTCGGGAGTCCTGCACAGCGGTGGGGGCGACACGACCCGGCAGTAATGGAGCCGAGCCGAGCCGAGTCGCCCAGCCCAACCCAGCCGACCTCTCGTCATTTCACACGGCCTAAAGGCTCGCGAGGCGCCGAAGCTGGTGGGAGAAGGTCGCCAGAGTGCCCCCGACATTGACCCAAAGTCCAAACGCTCCCTTTATTTAGGTGGACGGGTATAAGAGGAAAACTGCGTGATTGGGAGGTGCGCGAAGAGTTGCAGTGTGGCAGGAGTTGTTAATGCAGGCTGCAGCTGTGTACCGAGAAAGAAATCGAGCTGAAATAGCATCATAAATGTGGCAACTTGCAAGGTCTGCTTAATCATTTAACAATGCATTAACCAATGGCCGGACCATTCACATTTCACATACCTGATGAGTTATGTCGCTTCCAAACTACGGCCCCATAAATCCACCCACTCGGACGTTTTTCGCAGTTAATTCTGAAAAATAGCGGTGTAATTTTCCCTTGTGCGGGTCTGCTCTCCCGGCGGGGGCGCGGTCAGACCGGCTGGTCGCCGCCGGCAGGTGGTCCATACGCCCGGCGGGTATAATAGGACAGGAGGCGCGATCTACATAATAGATGGAGGCATACATGAATAGCGGCGGCCGGCGGCTGGTGCCAGTCAGCAGAGGCTGGTGTGTGACGCGCGCGGGCACAGCGCCGCTGGCACTCGCCGCCTGATTAGCCCGCAGAGTATTAGCTCGCCGCTGCCGTATTAACGCCCCACTAATGCGGCGATCCGTCCAGGAACGTCTGTTTCTCCTGTGGCTGCCAACGCGCGTCTCAGCGGCCTCATGATTAGCCGTGATCAACTGCGGCGCGTGGCGTATGTGGGCGGGTGATTGATACGGAAAGTTTCCGCATGTTAGGCGATTTGTGTCGATTTAGACTTATTTGATGACTCGCAATATCGAATGGTGGATGCTACTTGACAGTAACCATACTCGGTGGGCTTATGCTGGTATGTATTGTATTGCAGCATATTGCAGAATATGCATATATAAACCGATGGTGGTCTTGCATGCATAACTTTGTGTGTCTGCTGTCCACTGTGCAGTGTGCAGTGTGTAATGTGCCTGTCTCGAGCATCGTATTGTGCATGCTGTCCATAATGCATCATGAGTATGCATTGTGAATGTCTTCAGTAGTGCATAGGCTCCTATACCATGTCCAATCGTTTCAACGTCCAGTTGTTGTCCACGACTGAAGTTGTATAGCGTTCGGACATGCCTCATGCTGCGCTCGTGTCTGAAAAAAGACTTTCGGCCTAGCCAGTAGCCACGCCCTCAGTGACAATGCTTTGTGCCGTCGGTAGTGTAATAGGATTTAATTGTTGCCTGCCTCATTTATGCCACATTTATGCATGCATTTATGTGCCTCCAGTGATGTAAGATGCCTATGTGTGCCTTCAGTGACGTGGCGGTAATGAACGAGGACGGCTACGTGAAGATCGTCGGCCGTGCCAAGGACATGGTGATCCGCGGCGGGGAGAACATCTACCCGACCGAGGTGGAGGACTTCCTGATGACGCACCCGGACGTGCTGGAGGCCTCGGTGAGCCCCCCCCCCCCCTCCCCCACCCTTCGGCGCGTCCTGTGACCGACAGGCGGCACTAACGGCCTCCTTTCAGTCGCGCCCAGCTCCATTTACAGGCCGTCATTTTCGGCATCTATTTCCGTGATGGCACACATTGAGGCGGCCTCATTTGCGGCCCGCTGCCGTCACTCGGCCGCCGTCCCTCGCCGTCTGCTGCCGATGTGATCTAACCCTTAGCGCTCTCAGCTACTCAGTTACCCAGCCACTCATCGGGCGTTGGCTCTTTTTTTTTAGTATGTTCTATAACTATATGTTTTGTGATGCTTCTCCCTTGTTTCACATCGCTCCCTTCTATCATTCTCTTCTTTCACCTTCCTCCCTCTGGCCTCTCTCTCTCTCTCTCTCTCTCTCTCTCTCTCTCTCTCTCTCTCTCTCTCTCTCTCTCTCTTTCATCGACTAGTCCATTCCTCCTTCCCTTCCTCCCACCTTCCGTCTCCTCCCGTCCTCCCTCCTTTTCTCCTTCCGTCCGTGCCGTCTCGGCGGCTCCGGCGCCGGGCTTCCGTTCCGTGTGCGGCCGCCGCTCGGTCACCTAAGTGGGTAATGGATACGGAGGCACGCGGCCAGTGAGCGCGATGGCCTGCTGACCGAAGGCGTCTCTTATTCCTCCCACTGGCCTGCGGTCGCTTCGCTCCTAGCTGCGGTCACCTCGCTGCCCTGAGCTTGGGCCGCTGTTACCTGAAGTCATTTAGCAAAGCGACAATATGGGCTGAGATGCTCGGATCAGGTTTTAATAAGTGGCTTTGCTGTTGCCGGCTGATGATGTCGTATTCATTTTGTAACGGTGTGCGTCATTCACTTGCCTTTTCGTAGCCTAGTGGGGCACGACATAGATTGTGCTCTTGTTGTATTGATTCAGCCATGCGTTCTCATTGGCTCAGATTCATTTCCAGCAACTAACTGTCAGTAGTGTTATATGCAACCAAGCCATGTTGCCACGGTGAAACGAGTATTTTGAAGTGATGACCTTTCCCCCCGGTAATGCTTCGTGGTGGAAAAGCTCATGAGATTCAGCTGCATGGCTGGACTGTTACCGTGCCAACAGATGCCAAGAATCGTCACAAGAGGTTTTACAACTCATAAAACTTTCATTTCTAAAAAGCGACGTTAACTGGGAGGCGTAACACTCAACTGGTCGATGTTAGTGCCTGCGCAACAGTTTTCCTGGCACTGTGCCTTGATCTCCCAGGAAATAATCGAGACCAAACTTCCGTGTTGCTGACAGTTTATGTACACCACTGCGCCAGAACAGAATGCCTTTCTGAGAATCGCAGAGCATAACCTTCAGTTCCCATAAATTATCTGATACTGAACGGTGAACATGAAGGATCTGACAATTTCAGAATATCTTTCAATGCTATTTTTTCATCAGTCGCATCGCTGTCGTCACCCTGCCCGCTCCTGTACCTTAGTGTTAAGTGTGACTGCCTGCCACGATGTTTGTTATCATTCGCAAGCCATCGCCAAGTGGCCTACACAGGGCGGCTGCGTTTGTCATTGTTATGGTAATCAACGTCTGCCTCTGCGCCGGTGTCAGCAGCTGGCATAGTGCTATCGGACAGCATTTATCGAACAAATGACGCATAATCTGCCGACAAGGGTGAAGGCGATTGTGCCCATTATCAGTCAGTAGACTGTACCAAACGAGGCATGCGGTAGTCATGGTACCAAACGCTCACACTTTTGCACAAACCTCAAGGAAGCTCTCTAGGGGAAAATGATAGGAATCTGCTTACTGTTTTTAGTGCTTAGCTTGTTCAGTGTCCAACGACCAAGCTATTTTGAGTGCAGCCTTTATGTTCTGTATTGTACCTGGCCAAAATACGATCTCTTGTGGTTTTCATAAACAGGGGCGCGGGAACTACTTTCCGACTGGGGGGGCACACCATAATAGAGATCAACCTAGGGTACCCCCAAATCTAGTTTTCTCACCGGTTTTAGGCCACTTATTTTTCACCCATCGGCTTTTTCAACAAAAAAGAAAACATTTGCAAAAAAGTGTGGTATTCCGTCTCAAAGCTGTGGGGGCACCGCCCCCACGGCTCCAGAGTTGGGGGGGCAAGCTGCCCCCACTGCCCCCCCCCCCCCGGCTCCCGCGCCTATGTTCATAAAGTCATGCCGCCATGGACTTTATTCTGCACGCAAGGGTCATTAGGCCTTATGACATTATGACCAAAATGTGCGCCACTCAATTGTTCATCGTTGCCGCACCCCTGTTGCCAAAACAGTCCTGGCCTGCTCCACTCCATTCTGATCCCTGAGTCCCTGATGACGGTGACGAAGAGGTCACGATGTGTGGGGATTCCCGGCACGGCTGCCGCGGGGTGCCCCCAGCTGTCGGAGGTTCCCCTCCGCCGGGCCTGAAATACAATCGGCTCGTGTGCCTGTCATCAACGAGTCAGCCACTTTAGCATGTGTAGGTGGGATTATCCATGAAGTCTTAGAGGGGTGAATATCGATAACGATTTTTTCGTGAAGTAAAAAAAGCTACAAAATGTCGCTAACTACTTTATTGATAGCCCTTGCATAACCGAAGTAAAAGATACTGGCTCACTTGAAAACAAGCTTTTGACTTAATTTAAATGAAAAGCTGCTGCCAAAATATATCTCCATCAACCTGAATATAGCACGTAATAATACTGAACACAAAAATACAGTCCCCGGTGCTCTCATGCATTCGCTACGAGCCATCTCAGCTCTGAATAATGAATAGTGTGGTCTGTGATGTAGGGGAGAGTGGGGAAAGATGCCCAGGGTTTGACTATGTCATATATTATTCGAAAATGACGATCGGAAAGCCAAAACTTGGAGTTTCAACGGAAGCCATCATTTTTCTCCAAAAATATCACACTTTCGTGCCTGAAACATGATAACTTTTTTTGCTATTAAGCATTTTCCTGAAGAAGTGAAAGGGGGCATCTTACCCCACAGGGTGGAAAAGACGCCCCCTGGCGTTGGGTAAGATGCCCCTTGCACTATAAGTGACAAAAATAGGCACGTGAATCGCCTGAACGAATCAGTAGTCCCTTCGAGCCTGCAGTAGACACCAAACGTCATCGTAAGGGCCCTCAAAAGTAGTCGTAAGGGGCTTCAGAGGTCATCGTTAGGGCCATCATAGTCCAGCGTGGCCAAACAAGCCTCCGTGGTGGCGTTCGGAGACCATTGTGGGGCCCTTATAGGTCTTCATGATGCTTGAGGGCCCTCAAGCCCATCGTGGGGACCTCAGATGCCAGCGCGGCCCGTGGAGCCAACGTGGGAGCCCTCAAAGGATGTCGTGAGGGGCCCTGGAACCAATAATGGGGCCCACAGATGCCGTCGTGAGGGCTCTCAGAGTTAGATGCCGCCCAAAAAGTCGCTGTGTGGGCCGAGAGACCGGCATGGGGAGCACCTGACCGTACCGGACTCTCAATAGTCCCAGATCGGCTTTTGTCTCTCATCACAAGTATGTAATAAATGATTTGACGGGCTGCTTGAAGGACAGCCTACGGATTTAGGGGGGGGGGGGTGGGGCGTCTTTCCCCATCAGGACAGGGGGCATCTTACCCCAAGGTACCGAAGTAACATTAAATCAGCACAATTTGTTAGCCATAAAACTACACCCTGAAACAAACTGTTTGGGACACAGTACACGCATGTTAATGTATCACGACTATAGCAAGGGACGCAAAAATTATATACCTTCTTTGATATTTACAATGTTTTGACGCCAAAATATTTTTTGAAAGCAGCAAATAAAAAACATGCAATCACCAGCCAGCCGTTGCCCAACTAAGCTTCGCAAATTTTTGTGCAGTTAACAAGGCAGGCTTCCGCTTTACGCTAAGAACATTAATTTCCAGGTTCGATTCTTTGTTTCCCCGCTAGAGGGGGTGGGGCGTCTTTCCCACCCTGGGCATCTTACCCCACTCTCCCCTACGTTTCCGGCGTGGTTGTTCTTTATTCCTGAGGCAGCTCGGGCAGAGGTGCAGCAGCGGTGCCATGTGGCTGGCCACCTGATCAGTATTCACCGGCCCTGTTCTGCGGCTGTTATGCCGCCAACGCTCACGAAAACATTGGCCCACTCTCCGGTGAATATTTATCGGTCAGTATGAGCCTGTTCTGACCTCATATCCCTGCGACCTCTGAGACTCCTCCAGTGAAAAGGGCTAGAATATTGTTACCGGTACGACCTGGTCACTTTTATTTTCAATTTCGTATTGGTCGTGAGTTGTTAGGGGATAAATCTGACAAAAGCTGAACTACATAATAATATGTTTTCTTCGCTTATGATTTCGATTTTTAAGTGAAAGATGCTGGCTTTGTTGCAGTCTTTAGTGTTGTATGAGTGTTGGCTTAGAACATTGACCTCAATTAGCCTTCTATAGGTCTTCTATAGGTCAATGGCTTAGAATCACTCCTAGTTCCAGTGACTTAAATGCCAGTCTGGTAAATCTATATTTATGCGTCACACGCGTCCTGTCCAGGTGACATCACCACCTCTTACCTGTCTGACACGTCTTCCTTAGCAGTTTATTCGTTTACCGGTCGCCCTCCCTATAGTGTCCTCCGTCGGACACCCCTCAGATCAGGTCTGTCAGCGCGTGCGATACCGTCATGAGATCACCCAATTTCTCAGCGCATTAACACAAACGAAGTTAGCGGCCCGGCCCGACGGCCTGGCCGGTCGATAAATCGATCATCCGACGGTGGCAGCGACAGAGCGGGACAGATCGGGACTCCTCGGAGTGGAAATGGTACGCCTTAATCTCCGAGGAATGGTACGCATGATCAAGTACTAAATAAAAACCTGAAATTGCCCGAAAATTTTGAAGTTAAGATTTCTTATCCATGCGGCGCCTCTCAAAATGACATGAATATTGATCATTGTCTTTGGGACTTTTGTCTTTCATGAAAATGACGGAAATATGCTTAAGAAATAAGAACATTCCGCAAGGCAACAAATTATTTCAGCGAATTGTGCA